CCCTGAAGATACCCAACATTGACCAGTAAATGCTAACATACCTCCAATGACAAGGAGCTCCCTACCACTCCAACCCAAGCAGGTCTCAGCAAGCTTCCCCTTCCCGTAGCTGAAGTTTACCTCCTCGTGGACATCCAGGGAAGCCCATTCTCTCCCAGGGAAACCAGCAGACTCAGCTGGAGGCATCTCCTTGACTTCGTCAGTACCACCGACACCCCATTCCCTCCCAAACAGAACCTATAGACAGAAACCCTCCTCCTGTGGCCTCTCAGTGACGCCTCCCTTCCTCCCCCTCCTCGTGCCCCTCCAAAGCTCTCCAGGCACAGGGTAACGTGCCCGTAGCTTTGAAGAGCCCTCTGCTTGGTTCCCCATTTCCCTCAGTCCCCGGAGAAGGCAGAGTGGGTAGGTTCCCAATTTTATTCGGAGGTAGAATGATTTGCCCAAAGGCCTACAGGGAAGGGATGACCTGCAGGACCTTGCTCACCTGGTTCCCTGCCCAGAACCACACCGAATTCCAGGTAGAAAATGCTCCCTGGACATCTCTCTGCTTCCACCCATCAGGGAGCAGGAAGGACACAGAGAGAGCAGCTTAGCATGGGGGGGGGGGGGGCGGGGGGGAGCGGGAACTGTTGCTGTGGGTTAGCATCCTGGGAGCTGCAAGGCCTGTGGCTTCCGGAGAAAGAGAAAACGTTATCAATAACCCAGAGGCTGCCTGGCCGGGAGCTGCTTCAGGAGCATGTGTCCTTGGCTTCTGAGCTAGGTCACACCAGAGAAGCTGTGTGTGCACGAGTGTGTGTGTGTTCATGCACAAGGTGTGTGCATGTGAGTGCGTATACACGCACCGGCATGTGCTCCTGCAGGTGTGCATGTATGTGTATGTGTAGGTGCATACATGGAAGAAAGAGGACATTTTAAAAAGAATCTTCATAATTTGATTAACAAAATAAACTGATGAATGGAGTGGATCCAGAGATTTGGGAAACATGGGAACAGAATGTGGAATCTTGGAGGGAAGGCAGGGGGTGGGGGCAGGGAGATTGATGAGTAGGAGATGATCAACCAAAGACCTTGTATGCATATTATGCATAACCCATGGACACAGACTATAGGGTGGTGAA